CCCCAAAACCCCAAAACCCCAAAACCCCAAGCCTCTCTTTTCAAATAAATCTGAGTATGGATTAATTAAATTAAATCTTAAAAATCAAAATAAAGTTGAGTCAACATATTTTAAAATCAAGCATTTGATGAAAATATCACTTGGAATGAATTTAAGTTTTGGGGGGAATCTTATATTAATTTCCTCATTTTCATCATCTTGATATAGCCTCTCTATCTCCTTTTCATGATCCAACTAAAGACTAAGGTATCTTCCATAGAACGATACAACTTAGCCTTTTTTCTTGCTTGATTTGCCCACCAGTTGTTTCTTTGGATCTGGAGATAAGGAAGCATGCCTATTATTTTCATTCCTTTAAAACTCATCATGAACTGAATACTTCTGCTTTCCATATATTTTCAGTTGTCTATTATTAATCTTTGCAGTTGATTGCCAAATATCTACTATATTCCTAATTGGACCACTAGGCTATCTTTATATCATTTCATTCTCATGATATGTTTTAGTAAGGTCCCTCCAATCATAGTAGACATTATCATAGATAGACTTGCAGAAATTGTAATAAACTTTGATCTCTCTCTTCTTAGCCTCATCTCCCAAAAGCTTCATATTCCTAAAAATATTCTAGGAGTGTCTATCTTTGTCCTCCTTATCCTCCAGATACTCAAACTTAAGCTATTCGAGACATAGGTCCCATTTATTGTGAAGTATATCAGTTCTTTCTTTATGCTGATTTAATTTTATCCTCATTGCTTTTTAAATAAACATAATTTTTTCTGCAAATTTCCTAAATCTATTTATAATGCTGTTTTAATCTGTAGTATGCTGGAGAAATGCTACTAAATTTCTCCAGGCTCTCATCTCAGCTACTCCAATTATAAAAGCAACATGGGAAGTGAATGACCTAATATATTATAAACATATTAATGATCTGTACTTACTTTTTAATGATAATTTGGTTTCTTTTTCTCAGATCAAAAGCATATTATTGGAATGCAATCTTTGCTATTCTTTCAATCCGGAGGGCTGCATTCTTCTATTTTCTTTTTAAAAGGTATTATTCTTTATTTAGTTTGAAATGTTCAAATAGATTGACAAATAGAGTCTTTGTAACAAAGAATAAGTTCCATGCTTTACATATATCTTTCTTTTTCCTCAGCTCCTTTGCATCTTTCAATGCTTTTTCCCTCTATTTATTGTAACTATTTACTTAAATGCTTACATATTCTTTTAGAATTTCCTATCTGTTAAGCAGGAATATATTTTTCTTAAGGTGAAAATCATCACATTCAGTTTTACGCTCTTAAGCTTTTTCTATTTTGTAATTTTCAACGCTCATTTGAGAAGGTCTCTAAGCAAGATAATCGGCAAATAACTGCTTATCAAAATTCAAGCGATTTGACTGAGCTTTTATTAAAGCCTCCTTTATCCTTCTATTCTTGATTCTGATAGCTTCTCTTCTAACTTCATCACATTCTATTTCATCATTGAGAATATCATTAATCCTATTGATGTATTTATATTTACTATTTGTTTTCTTATTCTCAGCCACTACCATCTGCAATTCAGTTTAAGAATTAGATCCATTCTTAGATAAAAGAGGTTTTTCTTTGTTGAAGTAAGCATATATAACTAGTTCACACCCCTTAAATGAAGAAAGCGTGAAGAAAATATACTGATTCTTAAAGACCATTTCATGCCTATCTTGAATTTAAAATTTTGAGGGCTATAATTAAGATTTAACTTGAATTCGAGTATCTTACATTTATATATTCACCATTGTTATCGTCTAGATCTGGCATAGGATTTGTTCTTGAATATATAATATTGAAACTTTATTCATTCCTCATCTTTTGGATCTGTATATTGAGAGGAGCTGGCTTAGAGTTTACAAACAATTTTAGATACTAAGCCTCATTGGGTTTTAAGATTAATTTATTTCCAACAAGATGATGCATAACTTTAAATGCATCCTTTTTGACTATAATTTTATTAAGTTAGCTAAATGTTTTTCTCAACTCCTCCTTTGTTTATTGCATTAGATCTATCTTTTGATTAATTTTCTCAAGAGCAACCACCTCCATCTGTGACTTTAAATTTATCTTGCTATCTAACTTCTATTGTTACAAATTTTTGTGCAGGATTTTGTCTTGTTGAGTAAGCATACTAAACTTACTTATTAATTGACTGTTTTCTTAAATAGTCAATTTACTTAACTCTTATCGAGGCACAAATAGACTCGAAAGATTACTGGCAGATTTAACTGATTAAAGTCCATTCTATGCTCTTTAATGAGTATTTGGGAAAAGTACGCCTTATGATTATGTTAAAAAGTAATTAGTATTGTTCATTACTGAGGATGCATTCAAAGCGTTTGTATCAATAGTCAATTTAGTTCTATGAGCTGATTCTATGTTAAAAATCGATCCTGTTTGATTAAGTTATTCCAATTTATCGGTTTTAGCTGCTGATTGATTTTAAGATTAATCTTATCTTTCCTTCTTAGGGCTTTTACTCTTTTTGATACTTTATTTTGATGATGATCCTACTAGCATCTATTTTAGTCTTTTAGAGGTAGATGCAAATTCCGCTAATTTAGGTGATTTAAGATTTCTTATTTATGGCTAACTTTGAGATTCATTTAAGCTTTAAACTTTTGGTAAAGTAGAATGAGAGACAGAGTGATTGTTAAGATTAAAGGATACTATGGATGGTTTATGATGATGATTTTCAAACTTGGGATTTTCTAACTCTTCAACTTTATAAATTTCATCATCTATGTTGTCTAAATCCATGCCACTTTAAACCTTTAATTACGATTTGATTCCAATATTTATTAGTAAGGAGTTTTTATTTCTTGTAGATTTACTGCCTTTTTAAGACTAAGCGAAACTTCCCCCATAGCTAGTAGAATACTAATTGCTAGAGTTTCTTTCATGATTCTGATGCAAACCTAACTTAGATTCTGACTGGAGTCTCTGCTAACTAAGTCTTTTTTGCATGAATGTCTTGCTTTCTGATTAAATGTGCATCTATTCTTATGCTACTTATGAAAATGATATTTATGAGAGCTCTTTATTAGCTTTCATTGTTCTATATTATGATATATTTATAATCTGATTTTATTATTTTGTAAAAGAGACTCAATTAAATTTCAATTATTGCTAAATCATTGCTAATTTTTATACATGGGGTTTTGGGGTTTTGGGGAGATCGG